TTTTTTTTCAATTTTGAAAGTAAAATAAATATATACATACATGATTAGTTGTAAGCACTGCCATGCTGAAGAGTATAAACTTGGAGTGAAAGTTTGATAAAGAAATTGGTCCACAGGACCTCCTTTTTCCCAAATCACTTTTGGTATGACAGAGGGCAACCCAAAGTACTGAACCTGATAAATTATGAACAATCAAAGCTGCTGATGAAGTGCGATTGCAGTATCTGTTCGTGATCTTTTTGACAGACCGGACGTTCTCAGTCACTATCTTGAAGTAATTTTCAGAGTAAACACTTTATAGGCTAACCTTACTTCAGATCCCCTCCAAACTAGCACCACTATAGGGCCAGGGACTCTGGGGGACATGGCTCCACGGGGAATCCTGCTACACCATAGAGCAATCAATGCGACTCTTTTTTGGTCCACATCATCTGTCAGTTGGTAGCAACCTTAGGAGTCAGCTTCCAAATGAAGAATATTGTGGAATTTATTTCATGGGCAAATGTGTGTGTATTGAAGGGAGGGAGCGGAGGGTGGGGATCATTCAAAATTGGAGTGACCCAATTTCAAAATGCACAAAACAGAAATTCCAAGTTTCTCTCTCTTTTTTTTTTTTCCTGCTCAGAAAAGCTGGGTTCTGGTCTGGTTTTGTCCCCGGCCCTTTGGGGTATGTCTCTTCGCTTCTAGGCCTCAGTTTACCCATCTGTAAAAAGGGTGGTGGTACTGATGCAAACACTTTTGCAATCAGCTGTTGGAAAGCACTGCGTAAAAGCCAGAGGGTGGCCTGCTGGAAGTGCCTGAACAGATGCTGGAGGAAAACTCGCAAGCGGACACCACCTGAGACACACGCACTTCCAAATACTGTGCAGAACCGAAGCAAAAGGCAGCACCCGGTTAGGGCTCTTCCCCAGCCTTTCCATCAGCATGTTTGATCTCTCCTGTGCTGGTAGCACAGCTTTAAGCAGTCCTGTAACAGCAGGCTCTGAAACCAGCTGTTCCCAGACCTAAAGGCTTCACGCTGCATAGCGGGGCTGTAACAGAAGGGAATGAGTAATATGCACCATTTGACTTGCTTCAACACTGGGGATTTCACAGTGGTCTCTCATCCAAGAGCCAATTGAGCCCAGGACTGCTTAGTTTCCAAGACCAAATGTGTTCAGCCGGGCATGGCGGCACGACCCCCAGTTTAAATATGACCTGGGGTCCAGCGCTATCTTTTGTGGGCCCAGTTGCTGATGCTCCTCTAAGGCTCCCTGCATGTTCCTGCTTATCCCAGTAGCTCCTGAAATGCAAAGGAAGCTGGAAGTCGTAAGCTGGAAATAAGTGTAGCTGCAAAACAGCCTGGTGGTTGTATCGGCAGGAAACGTGAGGAACGGCTCTCCGGTCCAGATAGGCAGCCAGCTTGTCCGGAGGAGCTAAACTGGGCTTGGAGGGCTGTGCTGCGCTACAGCGCAAGGTCCAGGCGATCTGACTGCCGCAGTTACAATGCATAAACAGGGCCTATGGCAGCTGTCTACTAAACAAGACTCTGCAGTTATTACGTAGTTCACAAAAGGCAAGTAGCAAGGTGGTTTCCCTCCCTGAGTAAAAGGTCACTGGGAAGTGAAGGGCATCCGTTTCCAGAAGTTTTCAGCTGCCACCGCTCTAGTGAAGGGCAGGTGCTGAGGTCTGGTCCCAAAAGGCTTGTCCAAGGTGAGGTGGCACAGATGAAATTATTCTCTCTTGGCTCCCAGTTCTCTTCTCCAATATGCCCCTGTTGCTATTATCACCCTGGTTCTGCCTTGGTTGCTAAGCATGTCCTAGGAGATCCAGTCGGGATGTGATTGGGGAACAAGACCTCAAGACCCTGCGGACGCTGGAGCTCACTCTGGGGCTTGTCTTAACCTGTTCACCAAATCCTCCCAAATGATTTCATTGATTATTCCCCCCCCCCAGCCCATTGGAAACCTCTCAAACGCTTCATTCAAAAAGTGGGAGGGGAGGTCGCACACTTTAACACCCTCCAGACCCAAGTACCTGAACACACACACACCCTTCTGCTTTGCTCAGAGTGGTGAGCCCCTCGGGTGGTGGAAACAGAACCCGCCCAGCCCGGGTTGTTCAGCGGATGCTGAGCCTTGGTGACAGCTGACACTTTTCTAACTTCCTCCTGCAGCAAAACTTAAAACCGCAAGTTGACACTGCAAGCTGCAATTGCACGGTGAGCTGCAGCCATGGCAGAAGGCAAGACTGGAGGTGCCGGACTCTTTGCCAAGCAGGTCCAGAAGCGATTCAGCCGTGCCCAGGAGAAGGTACAGGCCGTGAGAGGCTGGAACAACCCTGTGACTTAGCAAGGGATGCTAAGAGGGGGGCGTTCCTTCCAAAGTGCCCCAAAGATGCCTGGCAAACTGCAACCTAGCCCCGTGTAGCATGGGGAGCAGAGGAGAGATGGGAGGGGTTTTGAGCCCTGTGTTTTTGATGGGTTTCTCAAAACCTCAGAGTCTCTTGCAATCCTTATGGAGGTGTAATATGAAAACTCTTACAAAACGCGGTGCTGAGACGGTTGTTTTGATGACTCGAAGAGCGATGGCCTGCTCCCAGTGAACTGCATTGCACTGGTGGGAGCTGTACGTAGGAAGCGCTTTCAACCAGAGGACGTGGGCCTTGGGGGATGGATAGGTTTGGTCAGGATTAACTTCACGTGGGGCACCGTGTCCGGTTCCAACAAGGGGCTTGGCGGCTGGCCTTCCTGGGACGGTCTCTGCAGAGCCGAGTTGCTTTTGTTTCCCTCCAAAACTTCTCGAAAGCAGAGGCTTGTCACTCATAATGTCCCTGCCTTGGATGCCGTTTGCTTGAGGGATGGTTGCCTCTCCGGGGTGGAAGGGCCAAGCAAAGCGGAGCAAGGCCAGAACAAGGCGGGTCGGGAACTGGAGGTCTGGAGCCCATTTGGCTAACCTCCGCATGAACTGCACCAGGAAGAAGGGGGCCTGGGCTCAGGAAGTGGGCAGGCATGAAGCTATTCTCTGCTGGTTTCAGTCGCCTCATTTGCTTGTCTCTCTCGAGCGCCGTGTCCCCGAAAGCGTTTTGGCAGTGGCTCCAATCTGGGAGTAAGTTGGCTCGAGCCCGCTCCATCTCTCCTCTCACCAACAGCTCAAAGGCTCTTTACCTAAATCTTTCACTCCCATGGCCTCATGCTTGAAACTCACCCCAGAGCTCAAGGGCAGCCCTGTAGAAGCCCCTTAGAGATGGTTGCAAGCTGGTTCCCAATGCATGACAGCCTGCATATATATTTCCACTTGGGGCCCTGAAGAAGGGGACGCTGGCATGAGGACCCCTCTGGGTACCACTGCCGGGGAAATGCTTTATTTATCTCTGATCGTGCCTGAGGTTTATTTCTGTGGAGGGGCATGGTCCTAAATTTCTAGAGAACGTGAGAACCTCTGAGCCTCATTGTATCAGCCTACTCCCCCCATGGCAGTGGGTATTCCTAACCTGTCCTTGGGTGAATTATCCTTCCATTCAAAGTGGGGATGGAGGTCCTGGGGGGAAGACCAGGGACAGGAGACTTGCATTTGTTCTGTGGCACTGCTGGAAGGCTCCACTCTCCTGCACTGACAGTCAGATGCTCAATCGCCATCTCTCGCACCGGCGCCCGACTTGCACGTGTCCGAAACTCAGGGATCTGGAGAGTTATTCCTGGGTGCTACTTTAGGCT